AATGGCGTTTCATGAGCCAAACTTAAAACTTCGGATCGATATAATTTAGGTATTACTATTTGGTTTCGAACTAGCCATGTTTCCTTCGCTGAAACTGTGGTAGGCCGCCATTTACATATGCGAATACCTTGTTTTACGAAATAACAAATGGGCTCATTTTCTGCCTCGGCCTCGTTCAAGAGATGAAGTACTGAAGTACTGATACAGTGCTGAAATTTCTGGGTCATTTTGTTGTTCAGTAATAAGGTTTGATGTGGAAAATGTTTCGCCATTTTCAGAACTGTCAAATAGCTTATGAAGAAATGTATCGGAAATATCATCATAGCCCGTGTAACGGCGCACGCTGGATATAAATGTGGTATGCTGTCATCTATAGGATCAGGACTTTGGGAAATAATCGGTTTATCGCTCAAAATCGGATCAGCGTTAACTTTGCTTCCTGCTAGGCCGGTCATTGCCAAGCAACAAATGAATTCCGTTAAACGGGAGAGAGTCAATAACGCCAATTTGAACTTCCCCGGAAACTAACTTCGACTGTAAGTTTATGTTGTGCATTGGAACTGAGGTATATGTTTGTGCATTAATTCCCCTCATCAAGGCATTTTTTCCTGAATAGGAACTTTCGGAAAAAGGAAGAATATTGGACAAAATCAAACCGGTGTCTCTTAGTATCTTAATTGGCAAACGTCTCGATTTACTGTTTTGAAATGCAACCGAGCCGTTAAACACGAATGGTTCAAATACTTTCATGATAGCGTCAGCGTGGTCAAGTGATTTTTGATCAAGACCAGATTGTTGTTTGTAACTGGTGTTGTTGTTGTTAGACACCAAACCGGTTGGCTTTGAATTCTGCTGTTCCTTAGTCTTCAATTTGAAACAATTTGACATGGTGTGTCCCTCACAAACCGCATGTTAACAGTTTGAATGGCTTCCTTTGTTTTGGTGGCCTAAGTGGTGGTGGGATGTAATGCGATTGGTTTTGATCAGGGCGCTTATATATAGGGCGGTGCAACGCGCTCATTGCGCGCCGATCGATGTGTGATGCGGAAGTATGGTAACGAGTCTGTTGTTGTTGCATAATAAAATATGGCGGATAGGCTTGAGGAGGCAGAGGAGCAGTATTTCGATAGGAATGATGAGCATTTCTCGTTCTCTCATGATACGGGGGATTCATCTTCTACAAGTAATGCACACCAGGACAATGACACTGTCCGGGGCCATGCTGGGCGGGCAGTAAAGAGAGCTAGAGATGTTATCTTTAAGGCCTAGGGCAAGATATAGTGCCAGCGAAGGAAACTGTTAACGACGATTCGCCAGTGATTTTCAGCAGCAAAACAGCCGCACTAGCAGTTTTCTCACTATTGGTGGAAGATACGCAACAGGCTAATGGCAACTACAATTTTATTATTTATGAGCACGTCAATCCTTTTTTTATTTATCTGCACAAATTGACTGAACTTCTATTAAGTCCGGATAATATTCTCAGGGAAAAGGAAAACATACTGAAATTTTGTCTTGATGAAATGTCAACAAATAAGGAGTTGAGAGGTAGATGGAATGAAATAACACCGAATTCAGACATGGTAGCATCTGTTGTGGTTTTGCAAAGAATTGTCACTTTCTTCCTTAAGTCGAAGCAGCAAATAATTCGTGAGAAAGAAGGCCTTGAGCCGAAGAAAAATAGCATCGCTCACCGACAGCAATTAAGTCGAAATAAAAAATGCTCTGCTGTATCCCACACTCGGACAACAGTGGATCAATCCCACACTTGGACAACAGTGGATCAATCCCACACTCAGACAACAGTGGATCAATCACATATACAAACCTTGAGAAACAATTTCAACAGTTCTTCATTACATGTGTTTTTAGTTCATTTGCAAACTCTGCCTTTCTCAGAACAGGAAAATATTTTGACAAAATTCAAAGGGAAGGAACTTGGTAAAATATTGAAGTCATTGGGACAGCCAGCATTTTTTGGGAAAAAAAAGAGAAACAAATACAGACCCTCTTGGATACAATAAAGAAAGGACTAACATGCATCAATTTTCCCGAAGAAGTAAGTCTTATTATAAAAGTGAAAATATATATATATATATATATATATATATATATATATACAGTCATTTCAAAAAAGGTTGACCTTCCAAAATATATGAACCTTGAACATTGAGCGTGCAAGGGATGATGGGTAGCAACTTTTTTTGGGTGTTTAATCCCGCAAATATCGCTTGGAACAATGAAAAGTGACCTACACAGCATTTCACTGGCTGTAGCCATTGCTAAAATTCAATTTTTGCACTGTTTAAGGCACAAAATAAGCTGCTACACATCATCCCTTGCACGCTCAATGTTCAAGGTTCATATATTTTGGAAGGTCAACCTTTTTTGAAATGACTGTATATATATATATATATATATATATATATATATATATATATATATATATATATATATATATATATATATAGATGATATATATCCAAATAATATTTCGTTGTCCGTACTTGAACAAAGAGTGCTCAATATCGAGGTGTGATAGAGCAATATATTTATATTTATATTTAATCTTAAAATATTTTCATCGCTACACTGTGTTTCACGCTTAAAAGCGATCTTCAGGCGAATGGATACTATGATTTTATAACTAACGGTTTGCTGACGCGTTGAGATGACTTGCGCGTGCGTTTGCGATTTTGAATTTTTGCGCGCTGAATTTATTGCGGTGTCTACACTTCGCAAACAATTCCGATCGTTTATTCAACGCTCTGTCTTTGCTCAATTCAAGGATATGAAGTTTCTCCTCCAAACACAGATTACATCTTTTTCCACCAGCTCTACACGCCGGGACTTGCTTTAAAAGGGACCACTTGATAGAGAATTGTCTCTCGCTTTCTTTCAATATCCAAACATACTTCGAAAGTTCCGTTTCTGTCGAGTAGCGCGCGTTGTTGAATGACTTTTTGTGGTTAGAGAAACGGTTCTTGAAGCTTCCTGCTGTCATTCCAACATATTCTTTCGTATCGCCGTCGTCGGTTGGCGTAATTTCAGCTTTGTAAACCACGCTCTCTGACAAGCATTTTCCTGATAATGGACATTCTTCTTTGACTCGACAGTTGCAGTTTCTTTCGCTGGATGGTTCGTTTCGTCTTTGTAACACACGGTGGTTGTGGTTTGAGATTGAGGTTTTTACGTTGTTCATGCAGGAGTAGCTGACCTTTACCGTATTACGATTAAAGATTTTGTGGAGACGCGACGTCTTAGGAAAGTGCTTGTCAATCAATCGCAGAAAATTGTGGGCCACGTTCGTCTTCACGTTCTTGCTGAAGGGGGGATTGAACCAGATGATCTTTCTCTTACGGTTATTGGTAGATGAACGGTCTTACGGTTGTTGGTAGATGATTCAACAACGCGCGCTACTCGACAGAAACGGAACTTTCGAAGTATGTTTGGATATTGAAAGAAAGCGAGAGACAATTCTCTATCAAGTGGTCCCTTTTAAAGCAAGTCCCGGCGTGTAGAGCTGGTGGAAAAAGATGTAATCTGTGTTTGGAGGAGAAACTTCATATCCTTGAATTGAGCAAAGACAGAGCGTTGAATAAACGATCGGAATTGTTTGCGAAGTGTAGACACCGCAATAAATTCAGCGCGCAAAAATTCAAAATCGCAAACGCACGCGCAAGTCATCTCAACGCGTCAGCAAACCGTTAGTTATAAAATCATAGTATCCATTCGCCTGAAGATCGCTTTTAAGCGTGAAACACAGTGTAGCGATGAAAATATTTTAAGATTAAATATAAATATAAATATATATATATATATATATATATATATATATATATATATATATAAGCACCTATTTGTTCATACCAAATTATTCATATTTGTGAGCCATGACTGGCTCTTGTGAAAGTTTTGCCCCCCGGCCCTGAAAAGACTAAGCTGGCACTGCCTCTAGGTAAGGTCTTCATTTACCTATGAGAGTGGTCACAATTAATGCTGGGAAAGGGTCCTAAAGATATTTTGAGTCTATTAAGAAAATACTAGAAAATATTCTGATGCACTCAAGGGGGCCCACAAAGTTAACTTGCATATTGACTTTATAAGAAAATTGTATCCTTGTTCTATTCTAAGAACTCTATTATGTTGACACTGTGGGATTTACATTGCAAGGGGGGTTTAACGGTCTTTGTTTCATTCGATTTCGACGAACATCCGATATTCATTTCTTTGCTGACAGTCAGTTTGGTCATCAATAACACTTGACTCTTTCGATGATTATAATTAGCCGTCGTAATTCGTTTGTATTTATGTATTTAATATCAATGATTTGCGATAACAAAATTCTGTACTAGCCAAGGTACAACCTTGTGCCGACTGTGTGGACCACGCGCGGAGTACCCGCAATACAGGTGACCCAAACTAAAACATGCGTATATCGCTTACATGGCTCCCTTAAAATTGTTATTAACTATTTTAATATAAACTAACATCATAGTCAGGCCGCTATTTAAACTTACTAACTAGTGTTCGAGTTCGAAATAGGCCTTATCTAACCGATTTAACAAACTATTCGTAATATTAAGTGGTATTTCTATGTATACTTAGCTACACTTGTACTCTTTTGTCTTCATCATGGCTCTCCGTCTGGGAATTCACCCGGTCTTCTTTAGATCTTCTTCCGAGGCTTCAACTAATAGAACTAGCTTGTTGATTGGACGATCCAAGATTGAACCACTTGCGGTTTGTACAGTTGCTGATCGAACAAAACATTGATCATCTTCATTGACATTCGTTACTCTTGCCATAGGCCAGTGATTCCTTACTTTGTCCACGTGGATCAGCAAAACTATGTCTCCTACTTTGAAGTTTATCCGTATACCCATCCATTTCGATCTCGTTTGAAGATTCTGCAAGTACTCTTTCTTCCAACGTGTCCAGAATTGATTCGACAGGTGTTGTACTCGCCGCCATCGTCTTCTACAATAAAAATCTTCGTTCTAAAATTTGCCCGGAGGTGGTAGCACTAGTTTCGTTTTGCCAGTCAGTAGTGCATTCGGAGTGAGTGGTAAAGGCGAGAGGGGATCATTTAACGTTTCCACAGTTAAGGGGCGACCATTAACGATTGCTTCTGATTCACAGATGAATGTACGTAAAGACTCATCATCTAGTTTCTGACCATGCTGCCTGATGAGAGCGTTCATGACGTTACGGACAGATCGAATTTGTCGCTCCCAGACTCCTCCGAAGTTACTCGCTTTCGCTGGATTTTTTATCCAATCAATACTATTCTTCAGCAGTTCCGATTTAATCTTGTCATCATCCATCTCTTCAACAGCTTTCTTCAATTCGTTTTCCGCGCCTATAAAATTAGTTCCTCGATCACTACGAAGTTCTCTAATGTTACCTCTGCGACAAATGAATCTACGTAGCGCTTGTAGGAACGAGTCCGTTTCCATTGAGTGCGCAATCTCAATATGTATAGCACGACTACACATACACGTGAACAATGCTCCGTACCGCTTGACTTCTTTTCTGCCTTCTTTCACGTACCAGGGACCAAAATAGTCGACTGCGCTATAGATGAATGGTGGCACGTCTTCGAGTCTCGACTGTGGCAGGTCCGCCATCTTCTGTTCACCTGCAGTTCCTCTAAGGCGTCGACAAGTTACACACTCTGAGATTAGTCGTCGAACTACTGTATTGCCATTGATTACCCAATAACCGTGAGATCGTAGTTCGTTCATGGTTATACCTTTACCACTGTGTTGTGTTTTCTCATGAACATAGCTAACAATCAACTTCGTAAAGTGTTCAGACTTCGGTAAGATAATAGGTGTTTTTAAATTTTCCGTGAATTTTGATCTACGTATTCTTCCTCCAACTCTCAGAATACCGTCGGAATCTATGAATGGATCTAGCGTCTGAAGCGAGCTCGTTTTCTTCAGAACGGCTTTCTTTTTCTTATCGGAATGACGATTGCTTAACGATGTATCAGCTTGAATGCTCTTTATGTTCTTGATCTCCGTAGGAAATGCCTTGGATTGTATCTTTGGAAAATGGTTTAATGCCTGACTCTCTAAAGATTGCTGTTCTTAAACCGTTATTAAAAAAGTGTGGTCTCTCCTATGAAGAATTCTGCAGCTTTCGTCCAATATCTAATTTGAAATTTGTTTCGAAATCTATTGAGAAAGCAGTTGCTGTACAATTAATGAATTATCTTGACGAGAATAAACTACATGAGAAGTTCCAGTCTGCCTATAAGTCTCGTCATAGTACAGAAACAGCATTATTAAGGGTTCAAAGCGATATTCTCCAAGACCTCGACAATGGAAACTCTGTCATTCTCGTTCTACTGGATCTGTCAGCAGCGTTTGACACCGTAGATCATTCGATCTTATTGACACGATTATGGAAGCGATTTGGTATAAAGGGTCGTGTTTTGGATTGGTTTACTTCATATCTTATATCTAGGAAACAATTTGTTCGTGTTGAGGGAACAGATTCGCTATGGCGTGATCTTGAATGTGGTGTACCGCAGGGATCGGTATTAGGTCCGCTGTTATATTCATTGTACACTGCCCCGCTTGCAGATGTGGCTAGGCGTCATGATCTCCGTTTTCACTTTTTTGCTGATGATGGACAACTTTACATTGCATTCAAAACAAATGATCCCGGTGAATTGATTTCATCTAAGATTCGTATGGAAAAATGTATATTTGAAATTAGAAACTGGTTGATGCTGAGTAAATTGAAACTAAATAGTGAAAAAACAGAACTTATATTAGTCCATTCACGCTATCGCCCTATGCCTCCCTTGAATTATATCATGGTGGGTGATGACAGAATTGTACCAACTGGTTCAGCTAGAAATTTGGGGGTTATTTTTGATGAGTTCTTTAAATTGGAGGAACATATTAATGGCATCTGCAAGTCATCTTTTTATAATATCAGAAACATTTCAAGAATAAAGAAGTATTTGTCTCGGGACTGTCTTGAAATAATCATTCATGCTTTTATAACTTCACGATTGGATTACTGTAACTCACTGCTATATGGTGTATCAAAATATTTACTCCAGAGGTTACAGAGAGTCCAAAATACTGCAGCACGTCTATTAACTGGTACTAGGAAATCGGAACATATTACATCAGTACTTATTGAATTGCATTGGCTACCAGTCCAATATCGTGTCCAATTCAAAATTATCCTTCATGTGTATAAGGCTATGAACGACCTTGCTCCACCGTATTTGAAGGAACTCTTGCATTATCATACTTCGCAGCGTTCACTTCGATCAAATAACTGTGAATTGCTCCAGATTCCCTGTTCTAGACTGAAGACATTTGGGGATAGATCATTTTGTGTCGCGGGACCACCATTGTGAAACGAATTACCCATTAATCTTCGGATGTGCAAATCAATTACTGTTTTTAAAAAAAATCTTAAAACATATCTTTTTAACTTTTTTTGAATAATGTATGACGTCGGTCTTAACATTTATATTATTAGGTTTGTTAATGATTTAGATATTTTAATAGTTTTAATATTAGATTTTACTGTAAAGCGCCTAGAACAGAACACAATTTGTTTGTGCGCTATAGAAATACTTTTATTATTATTATTATTATATTATTATTAAGTCTTCATAACTTATCTCATCTCTCAGCACGTCTGTTATCTTGGCAGCAATTGTAGCAGCCGTCAGCTCAAGTCTTGGAATACTGACAGTTTTCTTCGGAGCTACTCTAGCCTTTCCCATTTGGAACGAAACATGATAGTTCCGTGTTCATCTACCAATCTCAAATAGGAGCATTGGCCATACCCGTATTAGATGCATCTGACATGGTATGAAGTTGGGCGGACTCGATCTTTCCGAATCCCGGAGGCTTCGAACTTCTTTCTACTTCTACGTTTTCGAGCAGGAACAGTTCTGTTCTCCATTTCTCCCATCGCACCCGTGTTGTCTCGCTAACTGGCTCGTCCCAATCTCGGTTACATATCTCTTGCAGGATTTGCTTTCCCACTAACACTACTGGGGCGATGAATCCAAGTGGGTCATATACCGAGCTAATAGTTGCCAGTATTCCTCTTCTCGTGCAAGGTTGATCTTTAAGCTGTATTCTAAACTGCAGTGTGTCCGATTCAATGCACCAACTCATTCCGAGTGCCCGTTCTATAGGTAACTTATCCTGTCCTAGGTCTAAGCATTTGATCTCTTTCGCTCGGTCTTCTTCCGGGATCAGCTCGAGTACTTTGCGACTGTTGCTTACAAACTTGGTCAGATTGAATCCTCCTTTCTTACATATTGCCTTTGTTCCTTGAACTACTTCGATCGCACTTTCCTCCCTAGGAACAGATTTAAGCATGTCATCAACATAAAAGTTCCGTCTCAGTGTGTTCGCTATGTCTGCTCCAAATTCTTTTTCGTGATCGTCGGCTGTACGCTTCAGTGCAAAGTTAGCACATCCTGGCGAGGATGCACCACCAAACAAATGGACGGTCATGCAGTAGTCCACAGGTTCTTTTGTCAAGTCAGGGTCTGGCCACCACAGGAATCGTAGATAGTTTCGATCTGATTCCGTTACCTTGACTTGGTAGAACATTTTTTCCACGTCTGCCATCACTCCTATTCGTTCTTCTCTGAATCGTATCAAAACACACTTTAATTTGCTGGTCAAGTCCGGTCCTTGTAACAGATGTTCATTAAGGGACTCTCCTTGATAACGAGCTGAGCAGTCGAAAACAACTCGAAGACTATCAGTCTTCTGCCGATGGTAGACTCCGTGGTGTGGCAAATACCAAATACTTCCTTCTCTTGCTGTAACATTCTTTTCTTTCGCTTCGGTCGCATATCCTTTACTTATTATATCATTCATGAAGTTAGTGTAGTCTTGTCAAACTTGTCGTCAGATAAGAGCCGTTTCTTCAGACTCTTTAATCGTTGTTCGGCTTGTGGACGGTTATTTGGAAGAGTAACGTTCTCACCTTTGAATGGCAATGGCATTTCATAATGCGAGTCTTCACGATGCACGATTCCGTTTCCAACCTTGTTTAGAAACTCACGATCTTCCTTTGAAATTGCCAGCCCTTTCTCCTTTTCCGAGAAGTCTAATTCAAACATTCTCTCTACAGTTTTCGGCGCTATTTCTTCTTTGACATTTCTCTCGGTTACAATGCATCCTGACGATTTACCAGGATTTGATACGTGTGCTCGATTACAACGAACTGTGGCATCACCATTGCTGTCTACTGGACCATTAACATACCAACCAAGTATAGATCGCACTGCGTACGGTTCCGTCTCCTGACCGTGTATTACTTCTCTTGGACGCAGAGCCTTTGGGAAGTTCAGGCCAATTAGTAGGCCAACCTCTACGTTCTTCATATACGGGGCTAGTTGTTTGCTAATCTTCTGAAGATGTTGATGCTTCACAGCAACTTCTGGTTTTGGTATCTCATCTCTGTCGATCAGTATTTGTTGTCTCTCATAACTTCTTGGTAGGTCCACAGATACGTCTTCTTGCTGATAGTTCACAGCTACTAGACCATTGACCACTCTTGTTTCGATCTCTTGTGTACCATGCATAGTTGTCAACACTAACGTAGTGTTCTCACCATTGATCCCAAGTCTATTCATGGTTTCTGTCTTAATGAATGTTCCACCACTTCCGTTATCTAGTAGAGCATATACCTTTACTTTATTCTCTGGTTTGCTTTTATGGAATAGCCAGACCAGTACAACTCCCATGCTGACTGGAACATCGCCAGCTTCAGTGATACTGCATACGGTAAGTCCACTATTTATTCGTTCTTGATCGTTCTTCCCAAGTTCTTGTGTTTTGTTATCCTCTCTTGAATCAGTTTGGCGCCTTTTGGACTTTGACTTCCAATCAGGGTCATGTAATACAAAGGGATGCTTCTTTTCACACGTCTTGCATGTTAGCTTATCATTACACTTGCTTGAAATGTGTCCTTGTTTCAAACATCCAAAACATAGTCCCTTTTCTCTAATAAAGCCTTTACGCTCAAGCAGAGTTTTCTTTCGAAACTCTTCGCACTCATTTAAGTCGTGTGGCTTCAAGCATAATATACAGCTCTTAGTACGTTTTTGTCTTTATTATCCCCTTTAACTACTGTACCAAAGTTCCTAGTACCCTTGTCTCTTCGATATCGTCCGGTGTCACCGAATTTATCCTTACTCTCTTCCTTCGACCTTTCCGAGAAATCTTCTGAGAACACTGGGTCTGTGGCGAAGTCAGCTTGTTCTGTGACGAACTTAAAAAAATTCAGCAAAGGTTGCGTTTCTGCTCTGACTACTTCTTATTCTACTTGCTCGCTCTGTCCACTTGCTTCTCATGTACAGCGGTAACTTTTCCCATAGCTGACGTAACACTTGGGCAGTATTAAGGTCATCCATGTAGGGCAAGTTGGTTGTTGCATTCTTAGCTTGTTCTAGTGCGATAGCAAATTCTTGCAAACGCTTTCCATCCTTAGGTTTTACTGATGGCCATTTGGTGAGCCTCGCAATGTAGGCGTTTGCTACTTTGAAAGGATCTCCAAAATGTTTCTTTAACAACGCTTTAGCTTGGCTATAGGAATCATCCGATTTCATTTGAATACATCCTTTAATCACCTCGTTTGCCTTTCCAGATGTGTATTGGTCTAGGAAATACAACCGTTCGATAGGTTGTGTAACACATACAACTTAAGCCAACCAACCATACATATAAAACGTAAATAATTTCCGTTTTCTTAAAATATGATATGAAAACTTCATATTCAAATTCTTTCGAGATTTTAGTTCGCCAATGTTTTCAAATATCACCATTATTTACTAAAATTTTCAGCTTTTAGTAATCGTATGCCACATTTAAAGCACAACAAGTACGTGTCAGTTGTGTAGATCTTAAAATGAAATTAACAAATAGTAGAAAAAAGGTCGAAAAATAAAAATTCATAACGAAAACAATTTACCGCTAAGTGTTTTTAAAAAATACGCAAGGGGGAGTGAATGTTGGAGCGGGCTCAATATTGAGCAGTGTCAGTGGTCATTACTATTGCCCAGTGGGACCATATCTGGCGTCAGCACGAAAAATCCGCCATGTTTCTTGCTTCACTTTTGAGAAGAAAACATTAGGAACCGGTCCTCCAGGAATTATTATATAGCTCCGTGCATAACAATCATGATGGTCATAATGATGATCTTGATCATAATTAACATATTAACCGTAATAAATTATAGTTGCCATAGCAACCAAGATGATCATTATGATGATCTTGATCATAATTAGCATATTATTCATAATAAATGATTGTTACAATAGCAATTATAAATCATTATGATGATCATGATCATAATTAGCATATTATTCATCATAAATTATGGTTACCATAGCAACCAAGATGATCATTATGATGATCATGATCATAATTAGCATATTATTAATAAATGATGGTTGCTATGGCAACCATGATGATCATTATGATGATCTTGATCATATTCAGCATATTAATCATAATAAATGATGGTCACCATGGCAACTATGATGATCATGATGATAATCATGATCATATATAGCAAATTAATTATATTAAATGATGGTTGCCATGGCAACCATGATGATCATTATGATGATCTTGATCATCATTAGCATTTAATCATAAAAAATGATGGTTACCATGGCAACCATGATGATCATTATGACGATCTTGGTTATAATTAGCATATTAATCAGAATAAATGATGGTTACCATGGCAACCATGATGATAATTATGATGATCATCATCATAATCAGCAGATTAAAAATAATAAATTATGGTTGTTATGGCAACTATGGTGATCATTATGACGATCTTGATAATAATTAGCATTTAATTATAATAAAGTATGGTTTCCGTGGGAACCATGATGATCATTATCATAAATGATGGTTGCCATGGCAACCATGATGGTCATAATGATGATCTTGATCATAATTAGCATATTAATCATAATAAATTATGGTTGCTATGGCAACCATGATGATCATTATGATGATTTTGATCATAATTAGCATATTTATCATTGTAAATTATGGTTACAGTGGCAACTATGATGATCATTATGTTGATCATTATCATAATTAGCATAATAATCATAATAAATTATGGTTGCTATAGCAACTATGATGATCATTATGATGATCTGAATCATAATTAGCATATTATTCATAAGAAATGATTGTTACCATGGCAACCATGATTATCATTATGACCATCATGATCATAATTAGCATAATAATCATAAATTATGGTTGCTATGGCAATTGTGATGATCATTATGATGATCTTGATAATAATTAGCATATTGTTCGTAATAAATTATGGTTGCTATGACAACAATGATGATCATTATGATGATCTTGATCATGATTAGCATATTAATCATAATAAATGATTGTTACCATGGCAACTGATTATCATTATGATGATCATGATCATAATTAGCATATTAATCATAAAAAATTATAGTTACCATGGCAACCATGATGATCATTATGATGATTATGATCATAATTAGCATATTATTAACAAATGATGTTTGCTATGGCAACTATGATGATCAGTATCTAAATCTAAATCTACATTTATTGCTCTTCAACACTTTCGTATTATGGTTACAGTGGCAACTATGATGATTAGCATATGAAGATCTTGATCATAATTAGCATATTAATCATAATAAATGATGGTTACCATGGCAACCATGATGATCATTATGTGATCTGGATCATATTCAGCATATTAATCATAATAAATTATGGTTGCTATGGCAACTATGATGATCATGATGATAATCATGATCATATATAGCAAATCAATTATATTAAATGATGGTTGCCATGGCAACGATGATGATCATTATGATGATCTTGATCATCATTAGCATATTAATCATAAAAATGATGGTTACCATGGCAACCATGATGATCATTATGACGATCTTGGTTATAATTAGCATATTAATCAGAATAAATGATGGTTACCATGGCAACCATGATGATAATTATGATGATCATGATCATAATAAGCAGATTAAACATAATAAATTATGGTTGTTATGGCAACTATGGTGATCATTATGACGATCTTGATAATAATTAGCATATTAATTTTAATAAAGTATGGTTTCCGTGGGAACCATGATGATCATTATCATAAATTATGGTTGCCATGGCAACCATGATGGTCATAATGATGATCTTGATCATAATTAGCATATTAATCATAATAATTATGGTTGCTATGGCAACCATGATGATCATTATGATGATTTTGATCATAATTAGCATATTTATCATTGTAAATTATGGTTACAGTGGCAACTATGATGATCATTATGTTGATCATGATCATAATTAGCATAATAATCATAATAAATTATGGTTGCTATGGCAACTATGATGATCATTATGATGATCTGAATCATAATTAGCATATTATTCATAAGAAATGATTGTTATCATGGCAACCATGATTATCATTATGACCATCATGATCATAATTAGCATAATAATCATAATAAATTATGGTTGCTATGGATATTGTGATGATCATTATGATGATCTTGATAATAATTAGCATATTATTCGTAATAAATTATGGTTGCTATGACAACAATGATGATCATTATGATGATCTTGATCATGATTAGCATATTAATCATAATAAATGATTGTTACCATGGCAACTATGATTATCATTATGATGATCATGATCATAATTAGCATATTAATCATAAAAAATTGTAGTTACCATGGCAACCATGATGATCATTATGATGATTATGATCATAATTAGCATATTATTAACAAATGATGTTTGCTATGGCAACTATGATGATCAGTATCTACATCTACATCTACATTTATTGCTCTTCAACACTTTCGTATTATGGTTACAGTGGCAACTATGATGATTAGCATATGAAGATCTTGATCAATTAGCATATTAATCATAATAAATGATGGTTACCATAGCAACCATGATGATCATTATGATGATCATGATCGTAATAAGAAAATTTTCAATAAATGATGGTTACCATAGCAACCATGATGATCGCTATGATGATCTTGATCATAATTAGCATATTAATCATAATAAATGATTGTTACCATGGCAATTATAATTATCATTATGATGATCATGATCATAATTAGCTTATTATCCATAATAAAATATGGTTACTATGGCAACCATGATGATCATTATGATGATCATGATCATAATTAGCATATTATTAATAAATGATGGTTGCTATGGCAACCATGATGATCATTATGATGATCTTGAACATATATAGCATATTAATCAGTATTAATGATGTTACCATGGCAACTATAATGATCATGATGATGATCATGATCATAATTAGCATATAAATCATAATAAATGATAGTTGCTTTGGCAACGATGATGATCATTATGATGATCTTGATCATATTAGCCTATTATTCATAATATTATGGTTGCCATGGCAACCATGATGATCATTATGACGATCTTGGTCATAATTAGCATATTAATGAGAAAAATGTTGGGTAATATGGCAACAATGATGATTATTATGATGATCTTGATCATAATTAGAATATTAATCATAATAAATTATGCTTACCATGGCAACCATTATGATCATTATGATTATCATGATCATAATTAGCAAATTATTAATAAATGATGGTTGCTATGGCAACCATGATGATCATTATGTGATCTTGATTATAATTATCATATTACGCATAATAAATGATGGTTACCATGGCAATTATGATGATTATTATGATGATCATGATCATAATTAGCATATTATTATAAATGATGGTTGCTATGGCAACCGCAATGATCATTATGAAGATCTTGATGATAATTAGCATAATAATAATAAATGATGGTTACCATGGCAATCATGATGATCATGATGATGATCATGATCATAGGTAGCATAATAATCATAATAAATGATGGTTGCTATGGCAAGCATGATGATCATTACGATGATCTTGATCATACTTATCATATTAATCATAATAATTTATGGTTACCGTGGCAACCATGATGATCATATGATGATCTTGATCATAATTAGCATATTAATCAGGCTAAATGATGGTTACCATGGCAACCATGATGATCATTATGATGATCATGATCGTAATTAGTAAATTTTTAATAATCGATGGTTGCCATGGCAACCATGATGATCATTATGATGATCTTGATCATATTACCATATTAATCATAATAAATGATGGTTACCATGGCAACTATGATGATCATGATGATGATCATGATCATTAGCATAAATCATTATAAATGATGGTTGCCATGGCAACGATGATGATCATTATGATGATCTTGCTTGATCATAATTAGCATATTAATCATAATAAATGATGGTTGGCATGGCAACCATGATGATCATTATGACGATCTTGATCATAATTAGCATATTAATGAGAAAAAATGATGGTTATTATGGCAACAATGATATTACTATGATGATGTGATCATAAACAAAAATTATAATAAATATGGTTGTTATGGCAACCATGATGATCATTATTATGATCTTGATCATACTTAGCGTATTAATCATAATAACTTATGGTACCCGTAGCAACCATGATGATCATTATGATGATCATGATCATAATTAACATAATAATCATAATAAATGATTGTTCCCATAGCAACCATGATGACATTATGATGATTTTGATCATAATTAGCATAATAATCATAAATGATGCTTACAATGGCAACTATGGTAATCATTATGATGA